TGGGTTTCTAGCAAGAACGTTTCTTACCTACGCAAAACCACAACGATGATATGCCAATTTCTATTTACCCTTCATAAGGACCCTTTTCATCGAATCCGACCCGACCAAAATGGGAGAGACAGACACCCGCCAGCCACCTTATGCATCAAGTGCATGTCAGTCGATGGAACCAGTCTCACGTAAGTGTACGTGTAAGGTCGGTCCGGGCCGCTTCATCCCACAATGCCGCCGAATCAAGATAAGACTAGTAACGACAAGAAAATTGAACAAATCATCGCCCACAACTACTTTGTGTTCTACTAGTGCATAGAATCTACGCATAAACCTGGCTCATGATGCCACTGTTGGGGATCGTAGCAGAAATTTAAAATTTTCTACGCATCACCAAGATCAATCTATGGAGTAATCTAGCAACGAGGGGAAGGGGAGTGCATCTTCATACCCTTGAAGATCGCAGTGCGGAAGCATTACAAGAACGCGGTTGGTGGAGTCGTAGACGCAACGATTCAGATCGCGGTCGATTCCGATCTAAGCGCCGAACAACGGCGCCTCCGCGTTCAACACACGTACAGCCCGGTGACGTCTCCCACGCCTTGATCCAGCAAGGAGAGAGGGAGAGGTTCGGTAAGACTCCGTCCAGCAGCATCACAACGGCATGGTGATAGTGGAGGAGCGTGGTACTCCAGCAGGGCTTCGCCAAGCACTACGAGAGACGAGGAGGGAGAGGGGTAGGGCTGCACCAAGAGAGAGATCAAATCACATATGTTGGGCAGCCCCATACCTCAAGTATATATAGGGGATAGGAGGGGCTGCGCTCCCTCTAGGGTTCCCTCCCCAAGGGGGGGCGGCAGCCCTAGATCCCATCTAGGTTGGCGGCTAGAGGGGAGAGGGAGAGAGGGGGGCGCCCTAGGGTGGGCCTTAAGGCCCATCTGGACCTAGGATTTGCCCCTCCCACTCTTCCTGCGCCTTGGGCCTTGGTGGGGGGGCGCACCAGCCTACCTGGGACTGGTCCCCTCCCACACTTGTCCCACGCAGCCTTCTAGGGCTGGTGGCCCCACCTGGTGGACCCCCGGGACCCTCCCGGTGGTCCCGGTACGTTACCGATAGCATCCGAAACTTTTTCGATGACCAAAACGGGACTTCACATATATAAATCTTTACCTCCGGACCATTCCGGAACTCCTCATGACGTCCGGGATCTCATCCGGGACTCCTAACAACATTCGGTAACCACGTACATACTTTCCCTATAAAATCGAACCTTAAGTGTGTAGACCCTACGGGTTCGGGAACCATGTAGACATGACCGAGACAACTCTCCGGCCAATAACCAACAGCGGGATCTGGATACCCATGTTGGCTCCCACATGTTCCATGATGATCTCATCGGATGAACCGCGATGTCAAGGATTCAATCAATCCCATATACAATTCCCTTTGTCTATCGGTACGATACTTGCCCGAGATTCGATCGTCGGTATCCCGATACCTCGTTCAATCTCGTTACCAGCAAGTCTCTTTACTCGTTCCATAACACATCATCCCGTAATCAACTCCTTGGTCACATTGTGCACATTATGAAGATGTCCTACCGAGTGGGCCCAGAGATACCTCTCCGTTACACGGAGTGACAAATCCTAGTCTCGATTCGTGCCAACCCAACAGACACTTTCGGAGATACCCGCAGTGCACCTTTATAGCCACCCAGTTACATTGTGACGTTTGGTGCACCTAAAGCATTCCTACGGTATCCGGGAGTTGCACAATCTCATGGTCTAAGGAAATGATACTTGACATTAGAAAAGCTTTAGCATACGAACTACACGATCTTGTAATAGGCTTAGGATTGGGTCTTGTCCATCACATCATTCTCCTAATGATGTGATCCCGTCATCAACGACATCCAATGTCCATGGTCAGGAAATCGTAACCATCTATTGATCAACGACCTAGTCAACTAGAGGCTTACTAGGAACATGGTGTTGTCTATGTATCCACACATGTATCTGAGTTTTCTATCAATACAATTCTAGCATGGATAATAAACGATTATCATGAACAAGGAAATATAATAATAACTAATTTATTATTGCCTCTAGGGCATATTTCCAACAACCTGACCGTTCTGGTGAACAGACATATCCCTCCTATGACACACATCTTCTGTGGGGAGATAGTGCTTTGTGAGCCTCCATAAGCAGTTATAGTTTTTTTCCTCCGGGACATCAACAGACCATCTGTCGTATGTTTTCATGCAGCCTATTAGACACAAAGCTCATCAACTCCAACCATTAGAAGGAGGTCATGTGCTTGATCATGGGCGGAGTATGGAGCAACCTTACATGAAATCGGAGATCATTCGTCTGTGTTTTACTTCCTGTAATATGGTCCACGAGTATAGAGCCTCAAATACCGAGGCTCACAATCTCGCTAAGCATATGCTTTAACTGTAGGGTTCGGCCGCCATGTCTGGTTTGGCCAGCCCGGTGATCTTCTTTTTGTACCTATAAACATTGTGGTTACATAAATAAAGCTTGGCGAGAGTGTCTAAAAAAAATTGCTCGATCTCCCACACGCGCTACTTTTTCTTAGAATATTCACTGCTTGTATCACTCACTGCTGGGCCGGCCCAGTCGAGGGAGCGTCCATGGTCGAGAAGGCCTAAATCCTTCGGGAACGTCCAAGGTGTGGGCTTCCGTCTCGTCTTTCCCGTGTGCGCCCCCGCCCCCGGTGATTTCCCTTTCCTTTCCGGTCCTCCAAGAAAGAAAAGAGGATAGCCGCTTCCCCCTTCCTCCAAGAAAGAAACTGAAAGCCAAATCTCCTGCAATTTCCTCCCCCTCCCCGTCGGTCTCAGGCAGCCGCGCCTCCGCTCCGCCCGTCCTCGGACGATCCTCGGAGCTCAACCAAGGTAACAGCAATACTCGATCCTCCCTTTCCTCCTAGTTCTATCTATATGTGGCACGCTCGTCCTTCTACGAAGTAGTCCATCTAGGGTACTACGGTGCGTCGCGTCGGGCCGTGGACGCAATCGCAGGTAGCAGACCTTTTCTTGTGGTTACCCTGCGGCCTGCGGAACTGCTTGGCTCTCTTGGTGTAAACGCAAGAGAGGAGTTCTCTCGCCGGTCTATACCGAAAACGCGAGGTGGGAGAGCGCCCGCGAGTTGTTCGTCGAAATGCCCGTGTGATGCTCCGTGCGTTACTGAACGTTTTATTTGAGAATCATGTACTTTGGCTACGGAATTAATGGCGTCCGGATTGTATTCAGCCGAATTGTACTCTATGTTTTTAAGGCGACGCCTTACCGCCTTAGGGAGGGGGGGCGCTTTGGCGCCTAGGCGACGCCTAGGCGGGCGCTTTGGACGCCTAGGCGCCGATTTTCCAAAGCGGAGGGGGAGCGCTTCGACGCCTAGGCGTCGCCTAGGCGTCGCCTTAGGGACGCTTTAAAAACATAGATTGTACTAGTGAAGTCTCTGAATCTGTAGAGTTCTGCGCGTGCATTCTAATTCAGCCAGGTGCTTAGCAGGCATGATGATGCCGTATTTTCATGTAACTGGTGATCTGTTGTTTTCTGTTCTCCCGCCTTGAATTTTGTTGTCCAGCCTTGACCATGCTGGTTTGCCCCCTCTCTTTTTCTTCAAAGCAATTTAAGTGACAGCTGATGTCAAATTATTATAGTTATCTCGTTCATGGATCTGGAATCAACACACAGTGCATTACTTTGTCGCTTGTTCTGGGATATTGCTCGGCTCCCTGCTTGGTTTATCGTTTACAAAACTTAGCTAAAGCATTGTACTACTTAACCTCCTGTTCACCTGGAACTGGAAAACCATTGTACTCCCTCCATCCGGAAATACTTGTCCTAGAAATAGATAAAATGAATGTATCTATAACTAAAATAAGTCAAGATACAACCATTTCAAGGACAAGTATTTCCGGACGGAGGGAGTAGTAATTAACTGCGTTAACACCATTGTAACATGATGTTTCTCCAAATGTACAGTGATAGGCGCAATACTTGCTATTTGATGCATCTTTAGATGCCAGCAATTTTTCTCTACAGAATGGGATATTGCGGTAGTATTACTTATATTTTACTCATTATTTTAGTTCTTTAACCTTAACTATGCTCTAATTTGTTTTCCTTCAATCTTCTCATTGTAGTAGGAGTAGTTACCTAAAAATTAATGGTTACTATATTCCGCCTCTGGTTTCATATATCAGTCTTGCGTTACAGATTTGTCTCTGTTCCTTTTGAATCCCACCTCAAGTAGATTACCTGCACTCTATTAAATCTCAAGTTTAAGAGTTTAAGCCTTTCCAGAGTAGTCTTCTTTCTTCAAGTAGATCAATGCTCGTTTTAGCTTATGCTTGCAGCAGATGACATACGTTCTTTACTCTATGAACATTTATGTCCCTTTCCTGATTGAATGTGTAGAGTAGCTGCTATGATGCAGAAGTGAGCCTTGAGATCAATACTACTCTGAACACTTCTTTGCTGCACACTCTTCAATCTTAGTTTAAGCCTCTGGAGTGGTCCTCTTTCTTCAACTGGACTAAGGCTCGTTCTGCTTTATGCCTGCGGTAGTTAAACAATAAATTCCAGATGGCATATGTGCTTTACCTTATGAACATTTGTGTCCTTTCCCTGATAAATTCTGTAGATTAGCTGCAAGGATGCAGGAGTTAACTTTCAGATCCATATTACCTTGATCTCCTCTTTGGAATATGTATGTCAAAATCTCCCCCCTTTGTTTGTCTCGGTATTGATATGGATTCCAGCAATACACGAGCCTGGAGGTTCTCAGCCACCTGTCTCAGTTTATGCTTGTAGCAGATGACATACGTTCTTTACTCTATGAACATTTGTGTTCCTTCCCTGATCGAAACGTTTAGAGTAGCTGCAATGATGCAGAAGTTACCTTTGAGATTAATGTTACCCTGATCTCTTCTTTGGGGTGTGCCTATCAACCTTTTCACCCTTGGTTTGTTTCAGCATTGACATGGATTCCGGTAATACGCAGACAGAAGGTTCTCAGCCACTTCCTAAGAACCCTGCCATGACGTCATGCCGGAAGAAGAAAACTGATGATGATGTTACCTTCCTTGAAGATGTGAAAGAACACATCGATGAGTTCATCCACGCGTCCATGGATGAACACAAGACCTGCTTCAAGAAGACCATTCAGAAGGTAACTGTGCTGACACTGAAACCCGAAACTTCTGTCCTGCATTTTAGAACTTTGGTGTGTTCATGATCAAGCTACTTCCTCTTTGTGTTGGTCAGATGTTTGGCATGTCGAAGGTTGTCGCAGAGCGGTCCGCTGCAGCAAAGGAAGCTGAAGTCGAAAGTGCTTTGCCCCTTCAGACCAGTGTGTCCCAGTAGAAGAATGCGCTGGTGGCTGGCCCTTGTTGCCTTCTGGTGGCCTTGTTCTTGTATCAGGTGTTTTTTCATTTGTTTCAACTGGTCACTATAAATTTCGTGTAAGAAACCTCGAGTAATAGCATGAGTATAACCTGAGACTGGATCGCTGGCAGGCCTTGCTATACAAGGCCCACGGTATAGAGTTCCAGAGTATAGCCCAATAAGAGCAACAGAAAGGCAACAAGTCTTTGCGCATGTGATGGGCCGATTCGTGTGTATCTTAAACTCGTCCAGTTCATCCAACCAACTGATTCCGCTCAAAAAAATACATCGAACTCATTTTGATACAAAACGCAGAGGAAAAGCCTTGTCTCTTGTCAAAATAATACTGTATAATCTGTCTGCAGCAAAATTTGCTACCGGTTCAGTAAGTGAGCGGATTTTTTAGGTACTGTTTCAGTGTCTCCTGGAATTCCTTTGAATTCTAAGAAAAAAAGAGAGAGCTTAGAGAGTAGACGCAATACATATTCAACTGATGGAAAGCCACCCACAGGGACACATCTCTGTCACCGAGAGCTGTTTTTTTTTAGATCGAGAGGACATCAGTCGTGTAGTCTTTGCGTGTCGGCCACTGGAGGTGAATCGACTGGGCAGAGCCCGTTTGCCTCGCCACCCCGCGGTAACGACGGGGCATCAGTGCATCACCGCCACCAGCAGACCAGCCCGCTCGCGCGGGGAACCGTCAACTAGTCTAGCCAACTGCTCGACACGACCTCGCCCCACGCCCCAGCCCCAGGAAATGGCCCGCCAGCGCGCGGCACCCACGGGCGACGACCCGCCGCCCTTTGACCCTCTCCCCCGCCCCGCCTCCCGACGATGATTTCCCACTTCGCCATCGCTGCAGTGCCATCACCGGTTTTTGTTCAGATTCGACCATGGCTTTCGTCGTTAACCCAAGAAAATATAGTTGTGGTTCGGTGTGTCCCGTCCTGCTGATGCTCATGTGATGTTGCCCTCTCTTCCCCTCGCGTGCGCGCGCGGCCGGTGGGCGACTGAATCGTCCGTCCAGGTACCCCGAACGCGACAGACCGGCGCAAAGTATACTGACAAGGGCTTGATCCGCTGATGGCGATGTAACCGATTTGTTTGTTTAGAGGATCTTGATCAGAACACTGCTCTCTCCTGCTCTCCACGTCGCTCCTGCTCTACTTTACACTCCGGCGATCATCATGAGTTAGTAAACAACGTCCCGAAGCTTGTCTTGATCAGAACACAGCGCTCTCACCGCTTGATGAGGGCAGTTTAGTAGTTTACGTGTGCAAGCTTGTGTTGTGATGCGTGCCATGCGTAGACCCGGAGTGCTCCACAACCAATTCCATGAACCAAGAAATGCTACCGTAATTAGAAGAGTTCTCCCTTTTTCTTCGTACAACTTTAAACTGGAAACCTGGTCCTCGGTCAACTCATGCAACCTACTGTAGTACTCCCTCTGTAAACTAATATAAAAACGTTTTAGATTACTAATTAGTGATCTAAACGCTTTTATATTAACTTACAGACGGAGTACTATAAATCAACAGGAAGAAAGAACAATCATGTTTGCTCTACTGTTGGCAGGTCAAGATAAGAGGGTGGCATGTAGCAATCTGGATCACGTCTCCATATGCACGTTTGAGATTGAAAAGGCAACTCATGTTGACAAATGAATTTCTCACTACAGATTAGTGTTTATTTAATAAGGCGCAATCGTCTCATCATTTGGGCTTCTTTCCTAGTGCGACTAATCCGCATATGACAGGATCCTGAGTTTAGGAGGTGCCAAATCTTAATGGGTGAGTCATCTTCAGACCTTCTGGTCGACCTATGACAGGATAATTAGGCCCGGTCTGTACGTACTATTAACTTCAAAATAAATCATCAGAATTTCCTTCCAAACCTAGATATCCATGCAGAGCGCAATTTCATATTGCGCCATGCTTGCTTTGATGAACATTGTAATTGTTGTTTTATTTTCAATCAAAAAAAATGTCCTACTAGTACCACCGTTGTACTGTACGTATTGGTGTGGTACGATGTGTCAATGCTCATAGTCATACACCGTACGTGCGTGTTGTGCGCTGTGCCCACCGGTGTACTGACCCATGCATGTGGATACAGTGGGCTTACACGTGCACGTACAATACACGTACTATTCAAGTACTGATTCAAGCATGATGCATCATCATGCACCTGATCGGGTCCATTCCAATGTTTTGCAGCTGCTAAAGTGGTTGGGCGCTGCATACTATGTATGTGGCCTTTCAACACCCTTCATTTTTGGGTACGTCGGCTCCCCGTATATTTCTCACAGTACTCCATCCGGTCCTTTTTAATTCGCATATATAATTTGTCTGAAGTCAAGCCTCGTAAAGTTTGACCAACTTTATAGAAAAAAAATCAACATTCACAATGTGAAATCAATACCAGTTTATGCATCATGATATAAAGTTTCATATTGTATAACTTTAGCATGGTAGATGTTAATATTTTTCATATAAATATGGTCGAACTTTGAGTAGTTTGACTTCAGACAATTATTATATGCAGAGTAAAAAGGACCGAAGGGAATACATGTGCGTACGTACGTCTTCTTTGCTCAGCTCAGCAGCTGGATCCGTACTTTTTACATGGTGCCCGGCACGTGCATGTCATGTGCGATGCGAGAACTCCCTACCACTGCGCCAGCTTGCGCCGCACCATCAGCTTGTTTCCACAGTTTTTATCAAGAAAAGTGAAAAACAAGGGAAAAACTTGTTGGTTATTGTCAAAAGAAAAGAAAGAAAAACTTGTTGGTTAAATGGAAATGCACACAGTAGCTATTTTGTTTTTCTGTTTGTATGGCGGACCTGGTAGACACTGTTAGCTTTTTTTTTTTTGCTTGGTAGACACTATTAGCTTGATCATGAATTCATGATTGTACATTTTGTACTCTAGGCACTTATGCTTAGCTGTTCTACTTGACTGCGTGTAAATTCGTCTGTTTACATCTTAAGGATTAAGGAAATGCAGCTCGATGATTCGATCGTGTTCTGTGCAGAGACAAAGAGTTTGTTGTGGAGAGAGGAGAGAGAGGACTGGTTTAAAGAGCTGCTTCAAGTGTTGGGGCTGCATTTGCAGGCCTACATAAACGCACAAAGGTCCCAGAAATAGATGCATTTGCAGGTCCGCGAGTTTCCGGTTTACTTAGCATCTAATCTAAACAAAACAAGATAACGATCAGTAGCAATATATACTTACTAGGTCTGTAGAAAAACTTAAAACCATGACAAAGATTAACAGAAACCACAATTCTACTTTTAATGAATATTAATTATTAGCTTCATGCGTACGAGATTCACTCATTTTCGAAAAACTTGAGACAATTGATTAGAGAGAGTCTCAATCTCAAGCAGACATGGCGCGCTATCTCCCGAAAGATGACTCGGTCAAATGGCCCACTACCTAGCTACCAAATGACGCACAAAATGGTCCTCGGTGTAATGCAGTAATAAATTTCCGTTTTATGTCACCTGGCCTCGGCCGAGCTGAGCTGGTCCTCAACAGTCAACAGGATTGAAGATGTTGTGGCGCGAAACCTCAACTGTTTCTGGTCCAGGTCCCGGTGCTCGATCCAGTCCAGATATATAGATGCTCATCTCCATGATTCACCAACCTACCGTCATCAACTCTCAAGGAGACACGCCATGCGTGTTGTTTTATACACGCCCACGTACCCTTCCAGAGGAAACATCTACTTCCTCCGTTTCACAATACTTGCTTTCCCTTTGTCAAAATATAAATGTATTTAGACATATTTTAATATATAGGTACATTCATTTTTTGAACAAATGAAAGTCAAGTATTTTGGAACGGAGGGAGTACTAGCCAGCTGCTAGCTACTCCGTAGTAGTGGCTTCATAATGCGTGGCAAGTGGCGAGTTTCATATCGCTACTGCATGGTGTAGGCGTATGATACCAAAAGATGGTTACACAATTTGAAATTCGAACTTGATCAGCCAACTCTCGCAGTCTCGCAAAATATAAAGATGGTTACACAATACCGAAAGATGGTCACAATCCTGCTGTAAATTTGAATCAGGTAATCCTTTCAGCTATGAATAGAAACATAAGTGCATCTTCAACGATGACCAGATGCGCCTGGGCACGTTCGCGGGCATTAACTGGTCACCCCTTAAATAATGCGTTGTGTATCCACATACCGTAAATTTCGATCTTTAAATTCATGCAATCCATACACGTCAATCATATGATACAAATTGTCCAAATTCCAAAGTTTGAAACAAACCAAAGCAAATCATAGTTCAACAAATCAGACATGCCAAAATTGGGTCGGACGGTGTAACCTGTGTTGGCGGTCGGAGGGAAGGGGCGCGGCGGAGGGGGCAGCTGCTCCACCATGTCCGGACCTACCTGCAACGCCGCCACCACCTCCCTCTCTCGCTGCCGGCGTCGCCGCAACTTCTAGGTGACGTTCTCCACCTTGCAAGTCGCAGCCGACGAAGTGGCCCCACCGACGGACGAGCAGGGGCGGATCCACCATGAGGCATGGGTGTACAGATGTACACCCAAATTTTTCTGCAAGAAAAATCTTATATATAGGCATATATCAATATATGACAACAACCACATAGGACGGCAGCAGCCAGCCATTTCTGTCCATTGTCCACGCAGCCCATTTCAGATGTACACGCAAATATGCCTAGTTCAGCAGCAGCTAGCAGCCGGCCACGCATGTACGCATGAGATACTCACCCAGCAGACAGCCGGTTCCGTCTTCGCTTCTTCCCATGGACGAGGCGGCAGCACGATTCTGTGCCGAACGCCTATGGCGAGCCACAACCAGGCGAGGGAGCCACCGGCGCCGGGGCTCCCATGGCTTCCGCGGAGGTCACGGACAAGTCATGCTCGCGTAGTGCCGTGCTGATCGCCGCCGGTGGGGAGGAGCGATGGGAATGGAATGCTTGCAGTACAAAGGGTGGGCA